CCGCTCCCCGAATCCCCGCCTACAATTCAAACTGGCAAAATGGCGGGGGCTTCAGGGACTGTGGTCCTCGCCCTTCCAGATAACCAGGAGGAGAGAGTCGGGACAAACAGCTGGGCCTCGGTCCCCGCAACCTCCCGAGAAGACTTCCGGGTGCGCTGCACCTCGAAACGGGCGGTGACGGAAATGCTAGAACTGTGCAGCAGCTTCGTGCGAAAGCTCGGGGACGCGCTGCCGGAGGAGATTCGGGAGCCCGCGCTGCGAGATGCGCAGTGGGTACGGGCCCAGTTAGCCGCCTCTGTGTCTGTCACCCCCTTTCCCCACACTCCGGGGCTCAGGGCTCCTGCGCCAGGCCTCAGCAGAGGTAACGGTGTCCAAGGCTGCTTCTACGGCAGCCTGGGAAACGCCGGGGTGAAGGTATTCAGCTGGGTATTCGTTAGACCAGCGCTGTCCAGTGGGACAAGGCGAACTATTCTATGTATGTAACTTTAAGTTAAAAGGAAGAGGGAGAACCAGCAGTTAGCGTAATGGCTATGTCGCTGGACTCCCACGTAGTCTACCGTGGTTTGCATCCTGGACCCAGTGGCTTCCAACTCACGCCGGGCGCGTGTGCATGCGTGCCCAAGATCCCGAGAGGAGAATGGAGGAGAAGGGATTGGGCGTGACCATCCCCCCTGGGGGGTGATTTCTTGCTTTCTGTATCTCTGTCTCTTTGTCTTTCTGGTGAGTACACGCACCCTATAGCAAAAATCACTAAAAAAAAAAAAAAAAAAAAGGGAAGAGGAAACAGGTGAAACTAATTGGAGTAAGATGTTTAACCTGGTATATCCAAGATACTGTTTTAACTTGTGATAATATACAGATGAATGAGATATTTTACATTTTTTTGTTTGTACTGGACTTTTCAAATCTAGTGCCTTCCATTTACAACACATTTTCTTTGGACTAGCCACATTTTAAGTACTCAGGAACCACAGAGTGGCTAATGATCCCCCCCACCCCCCGCATTGTAGGGATTGTCCAGAAAAGGGTACTTCTGAAAGCCAGTCCCCCTGCCAGCTTTATTTATTTATTTATTTATTTTTGAGAGGTTTTTGCTATAAAGCGCGTGGGCTCCCCAGAGAGAGAGAGAGACAAAGAGACAGAAAGCGAGAAATCACCCCCGAGAGGGTATGGCCACACCTCAGTCCCTTCTCCATTCTCCTTTCGGGATCTTGGGTACGCACACGCGTCCAGCATGAGTTTAAGCCCCTGGGCCCAGGACTCGAACTCGTTGATTACATGGGAGTCCAGCGACTATGCCATCTGCTGGTCCCACCCGGCCAACTTTTGATCTTGCCTTCTGCCCGTTTTATTACGGAACAGCTAGTAAATAGAGTGAGAACATTTACCTTACAAGCCTAAATAGATTAAAAAAAATAATAATACCGTCCCACTTGTAAACATCACTATGTAAAATCACACATTGACCTTTATAACACATTTCTTTCTCAAATATTTTGCAGAACCCTGAAGATGGTAGTTTTTTTTTGGAGAGGGAAAGGCACAAGACATTTAGGAAGTGTCTGTCATAAGGAAGTGCACTCTATCTTTCTTTCTATATACATGCATATATGTGTGTATAAAAGGTTAAAAACATTTGTGAGTGGGACCACAATGCAAACAGTAGAAATAAAGGTTAAGTAGAAGAATCAAGAAACACTTCCTGAATTGTGATTCTGTATTTCAGTTTTGTAGGCAGAATGGGTATATGTCATTCTATTCTTGAAAGCAAGTGGAGAATGGAGACATATATAAGGATTTTTTTTTTTTAAGAATTATTTATTATCCTTTTTTTCAACTTTGACCAGAGAGAGAGACAGTGAGAGCAAGCTGCCAGATTCAGGACTCTAACATGTTTGGCCATGTGGGAGTCCAACGCCTTTAACCACCATGCCACCTGCCGGCAGGTAAGGATATTTTTGGTAGCTTTTTGGGGAGAAGATTATTTTGTTACACAGTGATCTTAGAATTTATTCTAGGAAGTGCTAAGGTACTTAAAACATTGAATTACCTTACAGGAAAAGAGGAACATGGCTTTTCCTGTTACACATTATTTACTAGGACAGTGAAATGAATTTTAAGGTAAAGATTTGAAGACTTAGACTGCCAAGGGAAATCACTTGTGTTTAAAATAAGAGAGTAGATAAAAGGCAGAAGGTGATGTATCTCTTTATCTGAAAATGTGGGTTAAAAGTAGCACATACTCTGTGCCACTTAGTATGGTACAAACATACATGCTTTAAAAAATTTAAAAAACAGCATAAAGCAAAAGTCTTCTTTGAATTCACCTTCCTCTTCCTTCCTTCCTGGAGGTGACTTACTATTTTGCAGAGTGCTTTCGGGGAGTAAACTTTCTGCACCCCTTTTTATGGCTTTGCCTCTCTTTGTTTTTTTTTCTTGGGGTTTTTTTTTTGAGTTTTTTTTTTGCTATAGGGCCCGTGCACTCTCCAGACAGACAGAGACATAGAGACAGAAAGCGAGAAATCATCCCCCAGGGGGGATGGTCATGCTGCAATCCCTTCTCCATTCTCCTCTCGGGATCTTGGGCACGCACACACACGTGCCCGGCATGAGTTCTAAGCCATCGGGTCCGGGATGCGAACCGCAGCCAACTATGTGGGAATCCAGCGACATAGCCATTACGCTAACTGCTGGTTCCCGCCTCTCTTTGGTTTTGTGTACATTGTGACATAGTGATGAATTGTTATCAGCCTGGCTTTTTCCCCCTTACCATATTGGTCTGCTTATGTGGAGATATTTTTCCTTCTTATCAGTACCGTGTGTTGTGGATATATTGTTTATTGAGCTATTTTCCTAACTTAAATTAATTTTTCCCTTCAATTTTTAATTTTTTGAACAGTGCTGAAGTGAATATTCCTAGTATATCCTTGTTATGTTTTTATGAAAATAGTCCTTTAGGATACATTACTAGAAGTGAAATTGTTGGGAAATAATACACATTTCAAAATATAATTATACTTCTAAATTCCTTTCGTCCTTTATTTTTAAATGTATTATGAACATTTCAGTGGTACAAAAAATAGATTACTACAAGTGGACACCCTGTATCTACCACAGGTTCAACAATTGTCAAAATTTTGTTACACTTGCTGTTTTAAAGCAAATCTCAGATCCCATGTCATTTCATTTCTACCTATTTCAGTATACATTTCTAAAAAAATAAGTCTTTTATAAAACTTTTATAAATTTTACTTTCTTTTAAGCATGTGTATTTTCCCTTGTATTAACACTGACACTTATTCAGCAGCATATATAGTGCCCCTGAAATTCAGCTGAGCTCAAATCTGTTAGGTTTTATTTTTATTTTATTATTTTTTTTTGAGAGAGATTTTTACTATAGGATGTATGCTCTTGCCAGAGAGAGAGGGGTGTGAGATAGAGACAGAAAGTAAGAAATCACCCCCCTACCCCGGGGGGATGGCCATGCCACAGTCCCTTTGGGGATTTTAGGCATGTGGGAACACATGCCCAGTGTGAATTTGAAGCTACCAGGTCAGGGACTCAAATTGCAATTGGCCATGTGTGGGAGTTCAGACATAACCATTACACTATCTGCTGATCCTGTTAGCTTTTATTTATTTATTTATTTTTTCATTTAAGAAGTACTTTTTTGTTCATAAGAATATTCTAAAATTTTGCATTAAATTTGTCATAAGTGGGACCAGCAGTTAGCACAGTGGCTATGTCGCTGGAGTCCCACGTAGTCATCTGCAGTTTGCGTCCCAGGCCTGGTGGTTTAAAACACACCGGGCGCGTGTGCGTGTGTGCCCAAGATCCCGAGAGGAGAACGGAGGAGAAGGGATTGCAGCGTGGCCATCCCCCCCTGGGGGGTGATTTCTCTCTTTCTGTCTGTTTCTCTGTCTCTGTCTGTCTAGCGAGCACACGTGCCCTATACCAAAAACCTCTTAAGAAAAAAATTTGTCATGAGTAGCATGACTGTCAGAGCTAAAATGTAGGTAGAATCAGTGATTAAAATGGAACCTTCATTGAAAAGAGTAAAAATGCTAATAGGATAGTTTGTTACTTTATATCCTCTCACAAGTCTGTTATTTTGTCAAGATGTTTAAATGCAGTATTTAAAATAATTTTTAGTGATTGACTACTGTAAATTTATTGTAGACTTTTGAATCAGCTGTGCAAGAAAATATCAGCATTAATGGACAAGCATGGCAAGAAGCTTCAGATAATTGTTTTATGGGTATGTGACATAACATTTTCACTCAATCATTAATTTCTGAATTATTTTCAATGCTTTTTTTTTTTTTTTAAGAATTATTGTATTTAACTTTATTTATTTATTTATTTTGTATTGATTTTATTTTACACTAGGTACTGGGCACAGAGCAATTCTCCTTAATAAAGTTGACAGTTAGCTTTGCTCAGAACATTTTTAATAATGCACATTAAAAAAAAAGTATTCATCTTACAAATTGTTCTGCACTCCAAATATACAATAGCTTGGAAAACAATGTTTAGAAAATAAAAGCCAATGTAAAAAGACAGATTAAAACAACTAGAACAGTACAGGTTTTATATGGCTCAGATGTTACAGTTTTCTTACTGCATCATCAATGTCAGAAATCTATTCCTTCAGCTGGCTCCATTGCTCTGGATTTAAAGAAATACCTTTTCTTCCTGGTTTCATTTCACCTTCTGGATCCATCCAATATTCCCTGATATCAATTAGAACTTTCCCTTTAAAATCCCGAACACTGACATATCTCATTTTCCCAATTTGAAACATGTTATCATCTCTGCTGCTGCTGCTCTGTTTGGAAGATGACAGAGCTCTAGAAGTTTCACCAGTCTTTTGCTTCTTTTTTGTTTTTTTATTATAGGGCGTGTGCGCTTGCCTGACAGACAGAGAGACAGAGAGACAGAAAGCGAGAAATCACCCCCCAGGGGGGATGGCCATGCCGCAATCCCTTCTCCTCCATTCTCCTCTCGTGATCTTGGGCACACACACACACACGTCCAGCGTGAGTTTTAAGTCACCGAGTCCGGGATGCAAACTGCGGTCGACTACATGGGAGTCCAGCGACATAGCCATTACGCTAACTGCTGGTCCCACCAGTCTTTTGCTTCTTTACAGGTTTTTCTGGAGCAACTTGCTTTTTCAAAACTCTTTAACTTCTTGTCAACTTCACTGTCAGAATCACTGCCAGAAGAGCTTGATGAAACAAGTTTCTTTGATTTAGGCATTGCTCCGCTCCTGCTGTCGAACAACCTCCTGCTCGTTCGCTCCCAACTCTATTTATTTATTTTAATTTGACCAGATAGGGACGGGGGCTGGAGTTGGGGAGGAAGAAAGTGAGAAAGCAAGCCATCAGGTCTGGGACTCGAACTGCAGTCGGCCATGTGGGAGACCAGTGCCCTAACTATCATACCACCTGCTGATCACTCAATTCTGTTTTTTAATCCCCATATTCAGTGGGGGAAAACTTAGAGGGGTAATAAAAAGAAGCTAGTATAGAAGATCTGAGGCAGACAGAGTGGGTATCCTTCTTATATGCTATCTGGTATTTGAAACAGGACTTTCACCTGATTAGTAGTCTTCAAAAGTACCTTTGTCAATAGTTTATTGAGAAGCCATTGCGTGGCGTGGTGATTGAGGCTCTGAACTCCCACATGGCAGACCATGGTTCAGTTCTCAGACCTGGTGGCTTGCTTTCTCATTTTCCCACTCTCTCTTCCTGTGTCTCTGGTTATATTAAAAAGTAATAATAAATAAATCTTAATAAATAATTAAAAAAATAGTTTATTGAAAAATACTATAGAACTATCTCCAGGTAAGGAAATTGGTCCAGAGAATGCCTATAATTCTTTAGAAAGCAAGCTGTATTTTTGCAAGTGATTTTTAGAATGGATAGTGAAGTACCCTTGGAAATGTAAATTAAACTATACTAGTACTATGTAAAGGAAGAGGTCACATATTTCTAGAAGGCTTCTTAAAAGAGATTTTTCTTAGTTCAAAGCAGACTTGATTATACTATAATTAATGGTATTGATAGATCTACAGAAATCAAAGTTTTGTTTTGTTTTGTTTTGCTTTGTTTTTAAAGTTTATTTATCTCTTCTGTGAACTAAAGAAACAGATCTGGCACCCTCAACAGGATTCTTATACCACAGTCCATCCCCAGCTTCAGCCAGTCCTAGAACATGAGCACTCATAAAGCCATTTTGTTTAAGGAAGTCTCTGGATATGAAACCAGAACCTTCCTGTGTAGGTCAGCCTCATAGAGTATCGTGTTACTGTTGTACCCTGCCTGGCTCTGAAGAAATTAAACTTGTTTTAAAATTTTTAAGAGAGATTTTTGCTATAGGGTATGTGTGAGCTCCGGAGAGATAGAGAGAGACAGAAAGCAAGAAATCACCCCTCAAGGGGATGGCCATGCTGCAATCCCTTCTCCATTCTGCTCTTGAGATTTTGGGCACACATGCACACATGTCTGGTGTGCATTTAAGCTGCTGGGTCCTGAACTTGAACCACAGTCAACTATGTGGGAGTCAAGCAATATTACCATTATGCCATCTGCTGATCCCAGAAATTAAAGTTTTAAGAGAAAGA